TAAATTTCACAAAAAGGAACACTGAATTAAATGTTAAATTAAACACTGAAATAGTATTTTCTTGTAAAACATATTTCAATAACCTTTGTTTTTATAAAATATCATTTTGTAATGCTATTAGATGCAAAATCAGTCCCACCAGGATTTTGCATGGCTTTTTTTCAGATTTTGCAGCCTAAAATGACTGAATTTACTGTGGCTTTGCAGTGAAAACCCATCAATAATCATGATGTACCTATGTAATTAGTGTTAGTGACAGTAAGCGTTCAATTACCTGTAAATACTATGTGCATACTGAAAGTGTGTTTCTGGGTCTCCCATGTAAAAGGCAATTGTGACACCAGGATATAAATACTCATAATTCCTCTTTGCTGAAACAACAGAATTGTGTTCAACACAATACCTTACACATTAAGTCAGTATGTAATCAGTGACAATGATTATATCCTATACATGTTAAATGTTATACAGTTTTGGATTGCAGATGCTCCACAAACTGAAACAAGAGTACAGGAGGGTGGAAGAGTGGAGGTGGATCAGGGGAAGTGGGTAAGGAAACAGGGGCAGTGCAGGGCACCAAGATGAAGCCATCATTGCAGGTAATTAGTGTGGAGCCAACAAGGCAGCTAGCCAGAGTGGAGTCAAAGACCACCAAGGAGGGTAGAGTAGATGGAGCAGGAGACCACCAGGGCAGAACAGATGGAGCAGGAGACCACCAGGGCTGAACTGATGGAGCAGGAGACCGCCAGGGCAGAACAGATGGAGCAAGAGACCGCCAGGGCAGAACAGACAGAACAAGAGACCACCAGTGTAGAGCATGAGATCACCAGGGCAGATCAGACAGAGCGGGAGACCATCATGGTGGAGCAGATGGAGAAGAAGACCATCAGGACAGAGCAAGAGACCACTAGAGCAGAGGAAGAGACCACCAGGGTGGAGCAGATGGACTAGGAGACCACCAGGGTGGAGCAGATGGACTAGGAGACCACCAGGGCAGAGCAGATAGAGCAGGAGACCACCAGGGTGGAGCAGACAGAGAAGAAGACCACCAGAACAGAGCAAATGGAGCAGGAGATCACCAGGACAGAGCAGATGGAGCAGCAGACCTCTAGGGCAGATGAAGAGACCACCAGGGCAGCGCAGACAGAGCAAGAGACCATCAGGGTGAAGCAGAAGACCACCAGTGCAGAGCAGGTGATCACCAGGGTGGAGCAGATGGAGCAGGAGACCTCTAGGGCAGACCAGGTGGAAATTAAGCCCATTAAGATGGAGCAGGAGATCACCACAGTGGAGTTGGAGACCATGCTGGAGCAGAGAACAAATGTGGAATAGAGGGTGGCTCTAGTATCCACAGTGGGACTGGTGGAGCAGAAGGCCATGCTGGAGCCGAGAGTCCAGAGTGTACAGGGACGGCTTTAGTGGCCGTGACAGGAGACGCGGAGTTCAAAGAATGCCTCCATGGCCATAACAGGGAGCACAGAAGATTCACAGTAGGCTTCCTTGGCAATTACCGGACAGTGAGAGGGTTTAAGGAAGACCTCTTTGCCTGACAGAGCAGGCAGATAGTTCAAAGCAAAAGCCACCACCTTGGGAGGAGCAGGGGAAGTATATGCGGTAAAACACAGAAGATAGAGGTTGCTATCACAGGAAGTGCAGATGAGGGAAGGACCTCTGGGACCATTGGTCTTAGCCCATCAGACTTGGAAATCCTGGGAACTACAGACTCCTGGCCACTGGACTTAGGACCAAGGGATTCAGGACCAAGGGCAACATTTTCACAGCTGCACGTGCCGACATCGGAGGGCCTTCCACCTTGGATGCCAGTCACAAACACCTCAAGATAGCCTTTGTTGATTCTGGTATGGTGGCCTGACATGAGGAGACTGTGGCTTGTTACCTGGAGTGGGCTTGTGCTAGTGGCAATCCAAGTCTTCCTATACCTCCCTCATGGTGAAGGAGGACCCACACTGAGCCAGATCCATGTACTGTGCCAGGGTCCTACTCCAAAAACAGTCCATTATTGTCACCTCAGCCCTATATGTCAGTAGAGACCATGACAACCAGATGAGCCCTAGAGACAAATCCACTGCGTAGACCTCGTCAACAATACAGTCATCACCACAAATCCTCAGCAAATACCTCAAGAACCACACCAGTCCTCTGCACAGACCCAGTGGCCAGATCCTGTCTCACCAAACACTGGAATGATGTATCCCACTCGTCAAGGAGAAGGAACTAGATGCATTTTCTGAAAGAAATCAATCCACAATCATACTTGTGTTGCAGCCTGGCCAGTGGAGGACTGGCCCCCGACTGAGCCTGGATTCTCCTAAAGTTTGTTTCTCCATTTCTGTCACTGATGGAGTTTGTGTTTCTTGCCTATATCACATTTTGGCTTGCTTAGTTGGGGATATCTAATATTTGGCAATATTATCAAATTCATTGCACAGACATGAGAACTTAACTGAGCTGGATGATGTCATCACTGTTTTCTACAGAGCTGCTTTATAGATGAATTGAACTCATTTGCATTATTGAAACATTTTCCTTTTTAACAATGTAAAGCTGCTTTGGCACAATCTGTATTGTATAAAGCTCTATATAAATAAAGGTGACTTAACTTGACCTCATCCCAGTAAACAAGTTGGCTATAAATGAGAAAATCCTCAACAAAATACACCAGCAGGTGGAAATCTTGATATCTGTTGCAGAGAAGCTCCACTTTGTTGTTCCTTACTGTTGCTAGATCCATATCCTGGTCAGTCGTTCTGTCACAGATATTGCAGAGAAGAGGAGAGGCTTGGATCTAATTGCAAAAACAAAAGAAACAAAAATGTAATCCATACAAGGTAGTGTTGTCAAAAATACCGACTTCAGTACCAGTCGGTACTGAAATCTTAAAAAATGTGATGATACCAGCATTTCCCGCTAGCATTTGAATGCTGTTGAGCGGATTCTTAAACACCTCTGTTTGGCCATTGTGTTTATGTGCTCAGCAGATATGTCTGTGATTGGCTACAATGATCATCACTTCATGCTCTTCACGAGCGCTAAAGAGATACATGCGGCAGTGTTTGAAAGCTGCGTCTATCAGTGAATCCGTCAATGGATCCTTAATATATCTGCTCATAGACGGATCCTCTGAAGAATCCGCTGAACAGCGCTCAAAATGTTTGCAGGAAATGCTGGTATTGTTACATTTTTTAAATTTCAGTACTGAAGTCGGTTCCTTTTGACAACATTAGTCAAAATCCAATGCAAACACAAATGTGACAACTCTGCAACCATGTAAAGACAACGACTGACAAACACTGACTAAAATATGGGGCTATTAAAGGGATAGTTCACCCAAAATGTAAAACTATCTCATGATTTAATCACCCTGGCTCTTCCAAGCTTTATAATGTCAGTGAATGGGGGGTCCAGATTTTGAAGCAAAATAAACTGAATTCATCCATCATAAAAAGTACTCCACATGGCACCAGTGTGTGAATATATGCCTTCTTAAACAAAGTGATGCATTTGTGTAAGAAAAATATTTTACAACTTTATAAACCATAATCTCTAGCTTCCACCAACTGTCGTACACGCATACACAAGAGCGTTCCAGCGGATGAAATAGGATGTAGACAAACGTGGTGATGAACCAATTGCAACATCTAATTTGCTTCAAAATCTGGACCACCATTCACAGCTATTGTAAAGCTTAGAAGAGGACATTTTTAACATAACTCCATTTGTATTCGTCTGAAAGATGAAAGTCATATACACCTATGATGGCTTGAGGGCGAGCAAATCATAGGGTAATTTTCATTTTTGGGTGAATTATCCCTTTAATACACACAGACAAGCAAGGCTAACAAGATACATCTGGGGATAAAGTCAAGGAGAACCAATGAACAAAAGAACTTCAAATAAAGACTAAACAAAGGGGAAAACATGACACAAACATCACTGCAATGCAGCAGTAACACACTTGAACACGATTTGATTAATTAGTTTGCACATTGAAATTATGGATTTTTGTTACCTAATAATTGCTTCCCCCTCTCAGGGTTAATGTTTTTTAACCTTAAAGAAGACAAAAAATGTAAGCAAACCGGAGAATGATCTGAGGTGTGTTTCTCTCTCAGGTAGCGTGTGCGATTGTGGCCGGTCTGCTTCATTTCTTCTTCTTGTCTGCGTTCTGCTGGATGCTGCTGGAGGGGGTTCAGCTCTACCGGATGGTTGTGCTGGTGTTTCACACCACATTAAAACATCTCTACATGTATTTGCTGGGATACGGAGTCCCTCTCGTTATCGTTGCCGTCTCTGCCATCGCCTTCCCAAAGGGATACGGCACCGCTAGACAGTGAGTTTCTTATGCTTAGAAAAAATATATGATCAGTACATTGACTAATAATCATGCACGCAGCTCACTGTATATAATAAAGACCCCCTGAATCAAAATGGGAGTTTTGTCTCAACTATAAAGCTCTATATGCTAGCGTACTTTTAAAAGCTTTGACAGTTATGAATACTGATTTTTTTTTTTCCTTTGGGAAATGTACCAGAAGTATTGACTACTCACTCATCCTATGTGCAAACAAGTAATTTAAATCAGGGTCCATGGCTGTGATATAAACTAAAGCCTGTTGAAAAATGTCCCCAACGTCCTGTCTGAATAGCAAATGTGTTTTCAAAGGAATTATGAAAGGTAAAGAGGGATGAACTAGTCTTTTAAGTGTTTTTGTAATCATGTTATTAATTTATCATTCTAACATGTGTTGCAGCTGCTGGCTCTCTCTTGACCGTTATTTTATCTTGAGTTTTTTCACACCGGTCTGTATCATTGTGATCCTCAATGGTTTTGTCTTCATCCTCACGGTGTGGAAACTGGCTAAAAAGTTCTCCAGCCTCAATCCAGACCTCTCCAAACTCAACCAGATCAGGTGTGTGATCTTGTATTGATCTCAAAATAGATTTAATCATTCTAGATTTTTTTTTCTCTCAGTGGTTTTGATGAATTAAATTTGGCGTGTAGGAGTTTTACAGTGACCGCCGTGGCTCAGTTGTGTGTTCTCGGAGGAACGTGGATCTTCGGCTTCTTCCTCTTCCAGGAGAAAGGGACTGAAGTCATGTTGTACCTCTTCATCATCCTCAACACCCTCCAGGGGGCGCTCATCTTCATCATGCACTGCCTGCTGTCCAAACAGGTACTTACACATGCAGCATAACAACAGAAAAACCCTGAAGAATTAGGTAACAGTGGCTTCTTGCAGGATTTCAGTGATTTGAAGTGACAGTTAAACCCACAAAAAATTGATTTGAAATTTTTGTTGCTCTTGTGTTTATTTGCCATTGAGGATCATTTTTAAGAATGCTTGTCCTTATAATGGCAGGATATAGTGACCTTCTTCAAGCTTCAATAAAATGATGCAAAAGGATCACAAAATGATCCCATGCAATTTGTGCCATATATACGAATTGTTCAGAAGTAGTGGTTGGCCCATATATCACCAAGGGCCAAAAAAAAAAAGTTTAAATGACTGGCATTAACTGATAAGTTTTTCTGGCTGATAAGTGCCAGAAGCAGCTTTTATATTGACAGCAAAACGACTTTTATATTGACAGCACTAAGAACAACAGTGTGTGCAGTTGCAAGTGTAATCTTGAATCCTTGATTTCAAACTATACTGTGCTATATATCCAGCTATATTCATATTTATGTCATATTCACAGTGTAAATTCACCTGGCCTTTATTTGGAAAAATATGATTCCAAGTGCACAAAAAAATTACTGGGTGAACTGTTGTTTACTTCCTTTTTATTCATGTTTTTAACCATTTCTATATTTGTGAAAAAATATTATAACTTTTTTTTTTTTATCAAGTTAAAAATTTTTTTTATATTGATTAATTTTACAATTAATTGTTTCTAATGTACTAAATATGTAAAATCTAAATTTCATTGCAGCAATTGTTATACATGTTTTTAAAATTAAATAGTGTAATATCATATATATCGGCTTTATATCGGCCATCAGCCACACTGCTTCCTAAGATATCGGTATCGGCATCAGTCATTTAAATCCATGTCGCTCGACCACTATTCTGAATGCATGCAACTGGAGTTGGCAAGAAACTGTAATTTATTATTAAGTCAAATAATTATAATTTATTTTGCCTGTTGCCCCCTTCAGGTCAGGACGGAGTATTACAATCTGTTTGTCCGAATGTGTCCACACAAGAAGAAACCCGAACACAGAACCAGTACCAGCCAGACCAACAGCAGTCAGGTATGTTAATGTGTGTTTGAGTGTTTTGAACATTAAAGCAGCATTTGTGGGTTCAGCTTCTTCATTCTTCCTTTGACTTGTACAGAAACCTCTACGGAGCGACGAAAGCACAGCAGAGTCACGGATGTGAAGCACTTGTCATGTGCTGATGGATTTTGTACAAACTCTTCAACACAAGACACAAAGACTTTCTGTGTCAAATGAAGGCTTTTCACAAGCTTTAATTCAACAATACACATTCACAGTCATCATCTGATGAATACTGCAGATGCTTGCTCATCACATGGGATATGCATCATCTGTTACTGGAGACGGAGATATAGGCTTGTCGTATATAGGCTTGACTCCATTCTTTGAATCGAGTATTTAGGTTGCTTCTGTTTTTGGCTTTTCTTTGTGTGCGAGAGGTAAAGTACGGTGACCGTGAAGTGCAAAACAAATCACAATTCTGAAAACAAAATAACAAATTACAAACGCAAATGCAAGTCTAAAAAACAAAATAACAATTCAGAAAGCACAACAACAATTCAGAAAACATTATAACAAGTCAGAAAACACAATGACAAATCCGAAAACAAATTAACAAGTCAGAAAACACAACGACAAATCAGACAAACCGGAAGAGGTAGGTATAGTTTGAGACAGTGCCATTGGTTTGGGATTACTCACCGCTGACTGGACGAGACATCTGTCAATCACCGTATACAGAGAAGAACCAGCCGAAGAACAGCAGAGTCGTGGTAGAAAGTTC